ATATATATATATATATATATATATATATATATATATAATAACGAAAAATCAATCTCATTTTATTCCATGCTTACAAAACTTTGAAAATAATATATATATAACGAATATATATAATAATATATATATAATAATATATATAATAACGAAAAATCAATCTCATTTTATTCGAAGCTTACAAAACTCGAAAACTTTGAAAATAATATTTCTATGAAATTGTCGAATTCAGGTTAACACCAAAAATTTAGTTCGATCTAACTTGAGATAAAAGAATTTAACCATTCGACAGTGTATTATAAAATTACGTAAAGAGTTTATTAAATCTATTCGTGAAGCGATATTTTAAAGAAATCGAACAAATAAAAATAAATATTGCATCGATTCGTGTGATGGCGGCAGAGAGTCACCATTGGAACGCGAAGGGTTAATAATTTTGAGAAAAAGCGAGAGAAATTCTCAGCTTGGCGATTCGAAGTTTAAAAAAAGCGAAGGAAAACGAAAATTCCAATATTTGTGAATTAATATTCCATATCGCGTTAACAGGATTGCTTTTTCTCCTGGAATTCTCTAATTGACGTGTGGTTTTTTGCCACAAAATTCGAACAATCAGAATATAACGAGATCGAAAAAATGATACAATAAGAACGCTGCTATTTTTTTTCTTTTTCTACAATTTATTTTGCTTTATTCCATTTCGTTGTTGTTATTTTTATCGTTTCTTTTTTTTTTACAATGTAAATGGAGAACGATAGAGAGAAATAGGAAAAGTGAAGTTGAAAAGCTGGCAAATCAATAGGAAAATTGAGATCGTGCGTATCAAGATTCCATTGCCCAGAAACTGATATCACACATTTTATATTCGAGAAATTCGAATTTAAATAGATATAAATCTCATTCTTTCGTAACTCTCGAATTCCAAAGAATCTTCCAAAAATTTTTGGATATATTCTCAAAACAACCTAACTTAACATAATTATTTTATCTATATAAAATATATCTATATAAATTTTATCTATATAAAATATTATTCATATCATTTTAAACAAAGTAAAAAAAAAAAAAATCAAGTTTCAATAAATCCTTAAAATTATCATTGAAAATGTGTAGGAACTGAAAATCTTCCCTCTTCCCCTTTAAAAGACGCGAGTTGCTATAAGTCTCGACTCCTCCCCTCCCCCTCCAAATCCAAGAAATTCGAATGGTCGATTCAGTTTTCAACTCTCGTTCGACGAGACATTTTCAGCTCTAAAACAGATTATTATTTCCATCGATGGTGGAGGTGGAAGCCGGAGTGGGCGGATTGAACAACGTCAGAGGAGGCTGAGCTATCGTCGCACGGTGAACGACGCTTTTCAAC